GCAGCTCACAGTGGCCCATGTGGGGATCGAACTGGCAACCTTGGTGTTATTAGCACCTTGCTCTAACCAACTGAGCTAACCAGTCCCGCTCTAGTTTCATATTTTTGTTTGTCACTCATGTTTCTAAAAGATTGAAAACTCTTTTTTACTATATTATATAACCATTTTCCTGTTTTTCTCCCACTTTTGATGTATGTTAATGTATATTGTTGTTCCCTGCAGGACTTAGCATTTTGAACAGTTATTGAATACCCCTGGGCACTTAACTCCATACTAGGTATCATAGAACATTCAAAGAAATATAACATATCATCCCTACTTTAAAGAACCTAAAGTCTAACTAGGAAGATATATTCACAGGAAAAGTCAAATGACACTTTAAGGAAATGATACGTGAGGTGTTTTAAAGCAGTATAGGATTGAGAGTTACTTGAATTGCATAGTAAAAGCACCATTAGTTTACAAAAGAAAAATCCTTGTGGATGTGACTAGCTGGAGACTACCATGAAGAGGTGGGAACTTGAACAGGACTTTGATGGAGCCGCACTGAGCCCTAAGGGTCAGACTCAACCTGCTGCCTTTTGGTAAATAAAGCCTGATCAGCGCACAGCCACCTTCATTCATTTGCGAATTTTCTATAGCTGCTTTCAAGTCACAACTAGAGTTGGGTAGTTGCCAGAAACTGTGTGGCCTCTGAAAGCCGCAAACATTTGCTGTCTATCCTTTTACACAAACATTTGCTGACCCCTGCTGTAGACAGTAGGGGCCAACACAGGTTTTTAATAAGGCCGATAGTATGGTAAAGCCTGTGTTTAGAAAGATATCTGTTTTTATAGTCAGACAGTGACAACTGTATTTCACACAAGGAACAAGAGATAGTTGCTGGTGCTGCATACTAGTAAAATAGAAGGGACTGAAGGGAGAAAGTGAAGGCAAAGGGCTCAGTTAAGCCTGAGCTAATGACATGGGATTGAGAACAGCAGGGAGGGGACAAATGGAAGGTTGCTGTAGACATAGCCTTAGTCAGATCTGATGCCCTGTGGGGTGGGGACAAGTGAAAGATTTAAAGGCACAGAGGTTTCTAGCCCCGGCAGCTGAGTGGACAGGAAACACAAGAACAGGAAAAAGAACAAGGGCGGCGATGAATCCAGCTTGGGGTATTTTTAGTGTGATTCACCTGCAGAGCATCCAGGTGAATGTTGTAATTGGAAATAGGGGTCTGAAGCACAACCGGAAGATCAGGGCTAGAGGGAAATATTTGGCGTCATCAGCATATGGTTGGTCATTGACATTTTGGAACTGGATAGATTTCCCAGGAAGGGCACGTAGAGTGAGAAGAGAAGATACTATGTCACTCTAAGGGACATAGGCAGAGTAAGAGGAACTAGCAGAAGAAACATGGAACGTGACAAAAAAAGACGGGCAGCTGTAACAAAATACCATAGTCTGGGTGGCTTATAAACAACAGAATTTTATTCCTCGCAGTTTTGGAGGCTGAGAAGTCCAAAATCAAGGCACCGGCAGATTCATTGTCTGGTGAGGGAAAGCTTCCGGGTTCATAGACAGCTGTCTTTTGGCTGTAACCCAACATGGTGGAAGGGACTAGGGCGTCTGGGGGGTCTCTTATAAAGGCGCTAATCCCATTTATGAGGGCTCCACTCTCATGACCTGTTCACCTCCCAAAGGTCTCACCTCCTAATACCATTACTTTGAGGGTTGAGATTCCAACATATGCATTGCGAGGGGACACAAACTACCATTAGCAGAGACAAAATAAAAGACATTTTTAAATAGATATCAAGAAAGAGGAAATGCCAGCAAGTGTTTCTGTAAAGGGCCAGATCCTAAATATGTTAGCGTTTCTAGGCCACATATAGTCGCTATCTTATATTCTTTGTTGATTTTTATCTTACAACCCTTTAAAAATGCAAAAACCATTCTTAGCTGACAAAAGCTAAGAACATCCTACACTGGCCATAATTCGCCAGACCTCTGCTGGATGGTGTTAGATGCTCTAGAGAGATCGATTGCTTAAAGAATGAAATGAGTGACGTGTTCAGCACCTACCTACCACACACACACATGCGCACACACACGGTATATAGTATATGTTTTGTACATAAAACATACACATATGTTCATATATGTGTGTATTTAAATATTTAAGGGATGCTATCATCCAAGACTTTCCTAACATAACTGTCTTGAAAGATGAATTTCTCCTTCTAGATTTATGTCCTGAAACTGAGCAAAATGGAACTGTTACCATTTCACGCTGATGTGGAGATTGGCCAGCTGATAGAAATCCCCATTGCCATGTACCACATAAATAAGGAAACCAGAGAGGCCGTCGCCTTCACAGACTGCTCTCATTTACCCTTGGATGTGACCATGGATAAGCAAGGAATCTTTACCCTCCTCAGAGAAGGTAAGCGTCGGCTTTTTATTTTCTCCTTTCTTTATCTTTGAATGCAAGGATGAATCATCAATTCAGAAACTACAAATTATGGTCTAAATTTCACATATTACCTTTTCTTTACAATACTTTTATGTATTCTGCCAACTGCCTTGTAGTAGGTGTCACAATGTAACATAGAAACAAAGGCACAGAAACTGAATAACGTGTCCAGAGTTCATTATGGCTGGACAATGTCAGTTTTTAGTTCGTATTAAGGTCTTCTGTCTCCAGCCTCAAGCTCTTTTCCTCTTGCCTCTTTAATGTGTATACCATGCCTCTTTCTAATTTACTATATGTATATATTAACTTTATTCAAAAAAAGAAAATACATTTTTCTAATAACTAAAGACTATGAATAAGCTATTCATGAAGATTGACATCATTTCCTGTTCTTGAACTTCATATTTGAGCTTGATCACCATGGTTTTTCATCAGTATTAATGACAGTAGTAGCATGTAATGTTTACTTAGCATTTACTGTTTGCTGGGCTCATTCCTGAATGCTTTTTATCTATTAGCTCATTCAATTCTCGCCGTACATTATAAGGCTGCCGCCAACTTGGGCTTCTCCCTTGCCCTTGCTGGTTATACTGTACAGTGCCGCTCACACCTCTTTCCTCTCCTCTGTTCTCAGGGTGTCTCTCCTGACTTTGGGGCCCTTGTCACCTCTCACCTAGAATATAACAATACCCTCCTAACTGTTCTTGCCTTTGAAATCACAGATACCAGACGGATCTTCCTGAAGCTCAAGTTCGATGTTACTTTTTCTGCTCAAAAATTTCAAGAGATTTCTCATTGCCAGTGGAATGGAGCTGAAATCCTTTTAGTTTAGCATTCAAGGTCTTCCACAATATACACCAACCTACTGCTCCTAACTTCGTACTGTGGCTTCCTACGAGAAGGCTCTAACTGAACCAACTCCTTTCGTTCAAATTTCCCATACACCTCTCTCATATACTCATTTGTCAGCTTGGGCGGTATACTCTCTTCTGCACGTCTAAACCTTCTCTGATCTCGTCAGCTAGAAGTAATCTTTTCGTTTTCTAGATTTTGTAACGCTTATAATTTTCTATTAATATTTTAGTGTATGTGAATGCCTCTCCCCTTCTAAACTGTGGACGCCTTGAGGTTGGATTTCTGCTCACACTTTTGTCCTCACTGTGCACAGAATTGTCTTATGTGATATGTATCTGGTTAATGGAAGGAACAGATTTTTACATCAACTTGATATAAACAATTGGGGCCTAGTAGTTAGTGTGTGAGATTGAGATTTTTTTTAAATGTATTAAAATCCTTTTATTTATACAGACTGATTTCCTTGTGAACGGACTGTTTGTCACCCTACTGAAGTCGTGTTATTTGACCTGCAGGCATTCAGAGACCTGGACCAAAGCACTGCTCCAGCACACACATAGTAGGCCGGTCTCTGGGCCATAGTCTGGTGACAGTGAGTGTGACTGAAGATGAAGAGTACTTGGAGAGCAGTGCCACATTTGCTGCGTACGAGCCCCTAAAGGTGAGCTATTTATGGTAAGGACCTGGTGTGTATTTCCACAGACCCCACTGTGTCCACTTAGGCCTTCCTACCGCTCTGCGATCTCTATGATGTGGGCCGGCCAAGTGGCACGTTGGTTAAGAGTTGGCTTGGGGGCCGGCCGAGTGGCGGCGCGATGGTTAAGAACTCGCTTGGGATGCCAGAGGGCCCCGGTTCGGATCCCACATATGAGGGCCAGTGACACTGCCCTCCACAGCTAAGA